TTTCTCTCTTTTCTACCTGTCAGTATTATCATCTCCCCCTCCTCCCTCCTTCCTGTTGAAGCCTTTGGAAGTGAAGCTGATTTGACAGCCGCCCAGTCAGCTGTCAGCTCCGTCTGTCCGTCTGCTTCAGGGCTTCCTGCAGGTCGCCGCTATCTCAGATTCTGTAGAGACTTACGTCTCTCAGGGAGCGGACTGGCTTCTATATTTAGGACAGAACCATATTGTTATTTAATAATGTGGAAACAGAGACATCGATAAAGAAAACCGTGTTGTGCTGCAGCTGTGGATTCATTTCTACCCTCTGGTATTGCACGGAGAGCGCAACATAATTCATGTGTGTGATAACTGTCTTTGGAGTTCACTCAACGTTACTTTGCCAGTTTTAAGAATAACATTACCCAGAATTCCAGAATATGCCAAACAAATCTAATCAACCTAACCAATGAAGTCAAGAAATAAAACAATGAAGAAGCTCCCATGAACAAAACTGAGGCACTCAGATGTACAGGTGATAAATGACTGGAACTGAAGTGTCCTTGAGCAAGACGCTGACCTTTGACCTCCATCTGTTTCAGTGAGAGCACATGATATCTGACTCAGAGGTAGATGACTTGTCTTTTTTTCCCAAAAACAATATCTTGGTTGAAGGTAAATGACTCCCTGGCCTCCTGACCTTTATTTTGAAGCACAAACTCCTTCCTGTCTCCTGCTTTAATTCTTTCCGGCTTAAACAACAGTAGATGAGCTCCTGATTTGCATTTGAACACATCATGCTCATTTCCAGACAGCCGGCTCAAGTCTTGAACCCTGACGTGTGTGTGTGTGTGTCTGTGTGTGTGTGTGTGTGTGTGTGTGGACCAGGTCTATATTTAGACTGGAACCTGTGTGAAGCCTGAATCAGCAGACGAAGGACATCACAGGAGAAGGCCAAAGTGCTTGTCGGCCAGGTGGTGGAGGGAGATAGAGACAGACAGGGAGAGAGAGACGAGGAAGGAGGGGGTGAATACAGATACTGGGCTGTTTGTGGTGCCTGTTTCAAAACCAAATAATTCATCATCTCAATTTGGTTTGGAAAGAATAATGTGTGTGTTGGAGGTTATCCAGGTTAATTCACTTCATTACAGGGCTGCAGTTCATTATAGAACCCATAAAAGAGATAAAAGAAGTAGAAAAGGGTGTAAAAATAGATTATTCTAATAAATGGAAAGGACACGACCTTGGGAGCACGAGGTTCTTCCTGTCTTGTCTTGTCTTATGAAAGTTAAATACATTTAATATTTTTAAACTTTTAAAGTCTGCTGATTTTGTTTTGTGAAAAGAGCAAAATCAGTAACAAATTGAGCTGTTTATCTGGAACACGAGATTGTGTGTGTGTATGTATTTTATAAGATATAAGACAAAAGAAAATACTAAATGTACTTTGTTACCTTTGTCTATTTCTCCATGAATTAGTCCCATATTATACAATAAGATATCTGCAGTCTTGTGCACAGCGGTGTTAATAATTAATCAATTACAGGTATAAACTGATGAATAATATATTAGCTTCAGTTGAGTGTCTTCGATCAGTGCAGGTGTTTTGAGCAGCTTTGATCAGATCAGTGGTTTTCAATGGAAACACTTTGCAGGAGCAGCAGTGTGATAAAAGGTGTTGTTTGCGTTGATTACATGTGGGAGGTTTAGTTTCATCAGTCCGCTCTCTGCAGCTGTTTCCTCTTCTATCATTCTCTCTCTCTGAAATATGATCCAGGAAAAAAACTGATCCAGCTATTTTTTATCAACAAGTTAAAACGAAGTCCCTATCGCTGTAGATGTCCTCATATTGTTAATCAAGAACCAGAGAGAGGGCAGCACATTTCAGTCTTCTGCTCTTGAAATCATTATTCATGCACTTGTAATGTTTTCCAAGAATTTACTTTAACTTGTGTTTTAAAAGATCCAGTGTGTAGGATTTAGTGGCATCTAGTGGTGAAGTTGCATATTGCAACTAAATGAACACTGCTCACGTCTGAATTTGACGATGAAACTTGCAAAAAAATGCAAAAGGCCCTTCTACAACAAGCGTTTGTCTCGTCTAGGCTACTATAGAAACATGGCTGTCAACATGGCGTCATATCCCCTTTATGCATGTGTTGTGGTTGTCTGCCAGAAGCTGTGGTTTTTAAGGTGGAACTGCTTTATTCAGTGTGTTTAGTGGTTTTAATCAGCGGGTTTGTTTTGGAGAGGAGGAGACCTCTGTGGATCATTGGGCTCCCGGTAGAAACCTCCTGAACCATGAACACTGAAGGAATCCTAGCCGGGAGAAGCTGACTGCAATGACGCCACACTGGTTTGCAGAGTTGGTTCCCAGCTGCCCACTGCTCCTAATACTTAAGATGGGTTAAATGCAGATAATGAATCTCCCTGCGGTTGTCAATAAAGGATAACTTACAAGTAACTCAATTATTGTTCATCAACATCATGTGTTCTGTCTGTTTCAGTGTTACAGCAGTGTGATTAGAAACTTGTTATTGGGCCAAAATATTGTCGCTTATCGTGAGATTGAATTTGAGTGACTGAGTGAGAGAAATCAGTGTGAAATTTGGTCTTTTTGATTAAGATTAGAGTGTTTTGGTTGTTGACTCTGTGTGTGTGTGTGTGTGTGTGTGTGTGTGTGTGTGTGTGTGTGTGTGTGTATTTCTTTGAAGCTGCAGTTGACTGACAGAGAGGCTGATTCACTAGAAACCACTCAAGCTCCATTAAATTAAGTCGAGGCTCCGCAGTTGAAGGTTTTGAAATTAATTTCATTTATTTTTTTAATTTTTGGGGGCAACGTACATTTCTGCAGATTACATCTGGGAAATCTCTGATATGATTTACATAAAAGTACATAACCTGAAATATATTTACTTTTCCATATTCACATGGATGTGAGTAATCAGGGGCCGGGCAAGATGAATCACTTCATGTAACCTCAGGACTTCTTGTCTGTCTGAAGGCCATTAAGACAAATCTGTCATGAGTTTCACGCAGCACTAAACACAACGCTGACCTCTGATCTGATCTTATAAAGCCGTTAATAAACTGAATATTCACTGCGTGGAAGCTGTTGTGTTCAGATGGGAGTTGGAATGACAAGAACAGTATTTTATTTTTATGCCACTTTCTACTTCTACTCCACTTTCAGAGGGATGTGCTGTTTACCATAGATAAACAGATTCATTGGGCGTCTGGCATTTTGAGTTAATAATAATGTCTGCACTCACAAGGTCAATAAACAGAAAATGTCTGCAGACACATCTGCAGGCAGGCTTGTCAGTGTGGCTGCTGAGAGACACTGTTAGCGCTCACCTTTGTGAGTTTTGGGAAGGTGAGCTACTATGGAGCCCTCAACTAAACCTCTCATGCATCCTGCTGCAAAGGTCTGTCTATATTTCTAAATAACACTACTCCTAAATTACTGTTACTGGCAAGTATTAGGTTATAATAATGCCGGGGTGGCACAAGAGGGCCACTGACTTATGCAGGAGTGGCATCAAGTCACAGCTTTCCAGTCATTCCTAGTTTATTCAACTCGAAAATTGCTCGGGGACCAAAGTCCCCAAAAACATTCAGGTATACTAGACAAAATAATAATACATTTATACCACAAAAACTGCATTGGATTGGCATAAAGTCGGCATGTCTGCAAAGGGGAGACTTCTGGGTACCCACAGAACCAATTTTTATTCAGATATCTTCAGGTCAGAGGTCACAGGAACTTTGAATCCATCCATCGCTAACACTATCTAAAATTTAGCCCAACATTAAGCGTAATTTAGCCCCCTTCCCAACATGCTTGCATGACATGGACGGCCCCGCCTCTGTAAACGCCCCTGCTGTACCCCTCCATCTAAATCAACATCTTACTGGCTAATTAAGATTTGTGGAAACAAAACATGTGAAAAGCTTGTAAAATATATATATATATATATATATATATATATATGTTTGCTGTAATTTAAACTACTACTGAGCACTAAGTCTTGTAGTATGATCAAGCCTAAATGATCACGTCTGCCTCATACTTTTTAGTTTAGAGTCTAGTTTGAAATATCTTCAAATACAATCCCCCAAACACTTGTGTCACACCCCTGTTAAAAAACAACAACACTCTTTTCCAGAGTGTGTCTGCTTGCTTGAAGCTTTCTGGGGCTGAAAGCAAAGAAAAACCTCCCCTGCAAAGAGCCTGAAAGGTATCACCACAGGACAGTGCATCACTCTGAAGTGTGTGTGTGTGTGTGTGTGTGTGTGTGTGTGTGTGTGTGTGTGTGTGTGTGTGTGTGTGTGTGTGTGTGTGAACAGTTGCCTCTCTGAACCACAATCTTATCTCTGGATGGACACACACATACACACACATGCACACACCGCACTTTTTAGTATTGGTGAAAATAAACCTCCTCAGTGTCCGTTGTGCCTCTTTCCAAGAAAAATAAATAAATCTTGCCTGCAGTGTATTTTCCAGTCAGCTGCTTTTATTAATGCTCAGTATTTCCTAACCCTCATTTAACCGGGTTAGCTGTGTAAGAACATATTTACAGCAGCAGCCTGAGGGGACACGACTACTTACAGGAGGGGTTAAGGATTCATACACTCACCCACATGGAAGGTTGTTTGTTCTTCAACTACATGCTTTTGTGTTTGACAAAACCCAAAAACTTTTGACTTCTCTCATCCTTTTGTTGCTCTTGTGAAATACTGGATATTTTTACTTCATTAACCCTCTAAAAAGCATTGAAATTAAACTGCTTGAGGGGAAAACTCTTTTTGGAACTGGACTATAAAATGGGATTCTGTATTAAACAAGAAAGTCAATTTGTGAATAAAGATCTTGGTCCACATGGTTCCTAGTAACCCTTTCAGCCCATTCAACCAAGCTGGATCTGTGTTTTTCTAATTTAACATAAATAGATTTTCCTTATAGCCCATGTATGAAAAAATAACAATTATATGATCAAAACTGTCTCTCTTTCCCCCACCAGGCGTTGCTGAAGATGGACTGCCAGGGTCTGGTTGCCAGACTGGTCCTGGATTTCGTCTTGCTGACCACGGCAGTGGAGGTGGCGTCCCGTTGGAGGGAACTGGCCGAGAAACTTGCTCGAGTGTCCAGACAGCAGATGGAGGCTTACGAGGCTCCGCACCGCGACAAGAACGGTCTATTGGACAATGAGGTGAGAGACTTGGGAAAGTCTGTGCTCCAGTAACAGTTCCTCCTTTCCTGTACTTAGATATGCTACGTGCTAGGATAATTTATGTTGTAAAGACGACCACATTTTCAAGATGTTACAAAGATAAAAAAAACGACATATAGTCACATCTTAAGATAGCTTATGTTAGCTAAATGCTAGCTACCTAATCTACATTAATTGTAAGGTAGCGAGTTAGGTGACTAGTTATGTTGCTTTTATCTTTCAAACATCTTCAAAATCTGGTTGTCTTTTCAACATACACAAGCTTAGCACACATTTCTAAGCAAAATAGGGGCGAAGTAATCACATGACTTCCTTTGGTCCTGATTGGCTAGTTCTCTTTGCCTGTCTTGGTTTGGTTGGTTAGGATTAGGCTCAATCAGAGCCAGAGTAGGGCTTTAATCTCGCATATAAAGAGAAGAGAAGGTTGACCGAGGAAGGGCCACAATCTGTACCATCCTAACTCTTCTTCTTCTCTCTCTGACCACAATCCCAACCCTTCAGTCCATGTGGAAGCCAGCCTACGACTTCCTCCTGACTTGGGCCGCCCACGTGGGGGACAGCTACCGAGACATCATCCAGGAGCTCCACCTCGGCCTGGACAAGATGAGGAACCCCATCACCAAGAAGTGGAAGCACCTGACCGGCACCTTAATCCTCGTCAACTGCCTCGATAACCTCCGCAGTGCCGCCTTCTGTCCCACCGGATATGGAGATTTTGCTGTGTGAACATTTTCATCCAACCCGGAGAACACTTTTAAAAAGTCTGTGAGGGTCATCTTCTTCGGGACATGGTTGGAGTTACTGGAACTTCTTGGTCCTAAGATTCATCTGAACCCTGTGAACATTCACTGTTTTTGTGCCGGTTTGGGATGGATGTCAGGGATCAAACTTTGGACCGTTCTGTCCAGGGTGTCTGGTGAATCTCTAGGCATCCCTCAGCCTTTGATCTTCAGGTCAGATCGGTACAGTCTCTTGTTTGGAGCCACGGATCGGCACCGAGGAAGAACCCACTGTGGGTTCTTGTGAAGCGCCAGATGTAGAAAAGCCCTTGGATGATTTCTGGCATTGTTTAGGTCAACGTGAAACTGGAAGATCTGCCTCTTTATGCCTCTTGTTACATTCGTCCTGCTTTCTCTTTCCTTTTACTCTTCTCCATCTCTTTTCTACCTCACCTTTTGTTTTTATCGCTTCCTGTCTCGCTCGCGTTCTTTGTCTCTTTTACACGATAAACGTTTCTCTTCCTTTTGCTCCAATTAATTACTGTTCATATGATTTGTATTTTTTTGTTACGACATCTCTCTGTCCACTTTTTCCTTCACCCCTCAGGACAACATCAGAGACCTCAACCACTGCAGTACACAACCACACATACTGTGAACTTTCCACCATCTATGAAAGCTGATTGCACCACCATAGTCAACTGATCACGCTCACAAACCTTTGCTGGCAGTTTTTATTCTTTAACTCCCTTTCTACGGCATTTTCTTGTGGTAAATTCAATAAAAAAGAATCAGAAATGGTTTAATATGTTTAAATATTACGATCATTTGTCAGTAATTAGCTTGCCAAAAAGCCCAGTGTTAACTTTACATGTGACTCAGTGTAGTCCATGCAGTAAAGGTACATAAGCCCATATCTGTTTATGCAAGATATACTTATATTTTTTTATACTTGCAGAACAATACAGATTACGTATTATCGACAGTGTTATTATTTTGTACTGCTCTTGGTTTGGATTTCCCTTGTGTGCTGTAGTTTCACCTGTGACTAGATTCAGATTTTTGTACTTGAACTGTTCCGTCCCTCCACCCTCGGTATGTTCTGTCCAGCTAAAAACAAAAAAGCATGGCTCTGAGTTTTTAGCCGAACATTCAAATTGAGTTCCCTGTGCAAAAGCGAATGCTATGTACTTCAACAGCTAGCTTGTTAGCTCGCTAACACTAGGCAATGCATCTGATTTAAAACTTTTGCACACACAGATGTTTTGATTGATCGAAGATTATGTGGTGAGGATGAAACTAAAGTGTATTTACATGTTAAACACAGTGGTCTACTACGGAGTATGAGCATCTGGTATACCCACTTCTAAATGCCCTCTGGTGCACATCAATCAAAAGTGTTATGCGAGCTGAATTTTTGTCCTAGGATGGGGAAGGCATCAGATTGACGGAGTAAGGATTACGTCACTCAGAATACATAACTATGTGGTGGTCTCACTTGTATTGATCGCAAAATCTGCACTTCTTCTGCGGCTAATGTGAAAATCAGAATGATCCTCCCTCCCCAGCAGAATTTAGGTGACAATCTGCAACTGGCCCCTTTTTGGAAGAGCTAAATATGCAAGAGTAGTCTAACATGTCACTGTTCATAACACAGGGTGTTTATACTTTGCTGGGCGGGTCACCCGCTCCTCCAGGCACCACTACACCACTGGTTAAACATGTTAAATATTTTAATGTTTAAAATTAAACTAGAAATTCCTGCTAAAGGTGCTGTTGATTTGTGTTTTTCATGTAAGTTTGGACGTTTTCCTAACTTTCTGACAACGTGCAGCATTACTATAATTATTTATCTGAAGTATTGAGGGAATGTTAGTATTTTAATTAAAGACACATCAGCTGTTAGAGTCCAAAACAGTTTACTGCTTCAATAAATTAAATGTGACTTTAAACTGTGAAAACCGGAAGTACCGGAAATATTTGTAGTTTTTGTTAAATTTATATTTAAAGAAGGCTTTTGTCTCTGATTTTGTGATCTCAGCAAGTGTAATCAATCAGCTTTGATGCTTTTATTTTTAATTTTCTTTCTTTCACTCTGTGGTTTTTCTTGTTTCTTTACAGTACGTTTTGTGACTGCTGCAGTGTTCCCGTATGTTTGCAATATGGTCTGAACAGAAAATCTGTAAGGAGTTTATATATTTGTACTGAACGCCGATTGACAGGTTCTTATGTGATGTATCGCCTGTGACAGGTCGCAGATCTGAAACCTGTTCAGTGTTTCTGTTGAGAAGGTTTCAATAAAACTGAAAATTCAAAACAAAATGTAAAAATGTGAAAATTACTGTGTGGGTGCGCAGAAGTGTTAGGAAGCCCATTCATGGATTGAATCATTCAAACATTTGTTTCTCGTTAGATTTGATTATTTTATTGCTAAACCAACCTTCAACAAACACACCTGGAACTACATGAATATATCATTTGTAGCACCAAAATCAAAATATACTTTAGTAAGAAAACCACAGATTTGATTTTAAGCATGTCTATACACTGAATCACACTGATATTTTAGTATATTTGCTTGTTTGTACATGAAAGGACCAGAACTTTTAACACGTTTATCTACAGTAGATGTAGAATAGGAGACAATTCAATATTACCGGTATTGATTATTGACGTTCTCTGGAATTGTATTCTGAAGATATCATTATGATGAGTTGTTCTTGATTCCAAAAACAACTATTTCTGAACTCAGCTCAGTATCAGTCAACGACCACGCTGAGCTTCACGACGGCTCTTCAGAAACCTGCGGGTAATGTCACGGAGACTACGGCCGTTTTTATTTACACAGTCTGGGGCAGAGATGCAGCAAATGGTCGATAGATTCTTTCCACCTCCATAAATTTGCAAATCGTGCCCCAAATGTGGTTCTTTGTGCATAAGAGTGTTCTGTGTCATCATGAATCCCGCACGGACAATATAGCCGATTCCCTTATGTAAACACATCCAAATATCACACATGGATGCACAAACAAGCCCATGTGCTAATGCAGGCACAAACACCACACATGAATGGACACAAATCTGTCTTCGTATGCTCTCTTTCCCAATCAAACACAATCCTCCACACACACACACACACACACACACACACACACACACACACTTTAATGTGCTTTAATTAAAGCAGATAATTATTCACCCTCAGAGGACAGGCCACCTTGGCAGAGTCGTCCTTTGCCTCTCGATGACTAACCCTCAACATTCCTGCTCGTCTCCTGGACACGACTCGGAGCTCAGTATTTTTTTTTTTTTTTGAGCATAGCACCGTTATAGGGAACAAGGTGATAAAACTCTCCCTTTACTCAGGTTTTAATAAGCTGCTATTTAAAAATGTGCATAAATCACCTCAGACTGTGTGTAGCCACTCGTGTTTACAGATCCCCTTTGCTCAGAGAAAAATATTCACAGCAGGGAGATAAAAAGGTTCATCTCTCAAAGCCGTCTAACCTGGAGTTTTCTTCAGAGAGACAGAAGCCTCACCCAACCCTTGATGTTTGATATGTTCTGCCTGAAAAGCTGAATCTGAAAGATGCACCTTGAGCAGATTTAACAGCAGCAAAGTAATAAATGACTGTAAACACCCGGATGATCAAACACAGGGGCGGATCTGGACAGGTGACAGCGGCCACCCCAGTTTGGTGTCAAATGCTTTAAAATCTAACACATTAATTAGGATTCAAACGGAAAAAAACCTAGAGAAATAGAAATTATTTGAATTATCCGTTATAGCCACAGTTCAGACTCAGTGATAGGCTCATGTTCAATAGAAAAATACTATTAAGAAGAATTGGAAATAAAATGTATTGATATCTAATGCCACCTCTAGATAATTCTATTCAGTGCTACAACAATGAGTTCAAATATCTTTATTTGAGGGCTTTTCCATGCAAACATTGATATATGTGATTGTCTGTTTTCTCTCTCAAAGCCACCACATGAACATTTCTCTAGATCTGCCCCTGAATCAGAGGACCACAGGCATTATTCTGCTGATCTACTAGTTTGTCTTTCAATTTAAAATGACTTTATTGGCTTGACGTAAGGCTGCAGACACTGCCATAGCAAGCAACATTAATTAGAAAACACACTACAGCAAAGAAAGATACTACAAGACTGGTAGTTTTTCTTCATCTAGTAGGTTAAGAACACCTTTTGGTATTAATTCAAACTGATTAAAATGTGCTTCTTAAAGAGGTGTAGCACTGTTTCAGGTTCTTTCTGTTTGTGAGAGGAAACCCACACACGGCTCGGTCCTCGGCTGAGTCGGGACAAACTGGCTTTTGAAAATGCAAAACAGGTGGTGAGATAAAAAGCTTTGGGACGAGCCTGTCGGGCTGTTTCATCTGCTGTTGGAGGATGTGTGGAAACAGAGCCAGGCTGGTTTCACTGTGAAGAGCCCTTAAAAGATTTTAAAAAAAAAACCTCTGCTCTGCTCATCTGCTTTTTGTCGCTCCATCTCCATCGTTTTGGAGCCTCAAGGATGTTTTGCTGTAGTCATGTGGAAGCCTCATGAAACCTCCAGTCATTCATCACAACTTCAGCTGAAGTCATGAAGTCTTTCTCTTCAGTCTTCTAGTTTACGTCAGAACCACAGAGTTGTGACCCAGAATCCAGTTTTTGTCTCCAGTTATTATTGATAAACACTTTGGTTGCTTTTTGTGTTGGTTTATGTTTATGTGGAGCATTTTACTTATTTTCTGTGTATTTGGATCTTGGATATGTGCTACAGTGCACAGCTATTCAAAAGCTCTTTTCTTCTATGTGCCTGGGTTTTGATAGTTGCACATCAGCCACCACAGTGGACGATAACGCATCATCCCATACACTGGCTAGCCAGTGTAAGTGCAACACAAAATTGCACAGCAGATGGGGACATCTAGTAACAACTATGGAGTTATACAGTTAAGTATTGATCATATGTTGGGAGAAAATTACAATGAATCGTCTGTCCACTAAACTGGACATCATGCGCTGGCTTTCAGCTAAACTCCATACAATATTGGAACTTACTGACAATGTTTAATCTGCAACATTTTCTGGCTACGCTATTAGAATGTAACAAAAGCGATATAACAGCTATAACAGGTAACGTATTTTAATATACAGTTGAAAACTCAAACGCAAGCAGTCCATCTGAGTGGACGTGTAAAAAACTCCTTGACAAATGCATTTAAAAAAGAGTAATAAAACACTTCCTGACTGAAGTTGTCGTTCATGCATGAAAGAGTTAGATGTCCTTGTACAGAGTCAGTGTTCCTCCTCGTGTGTTTTTCCGTCCTTGTTAGAGCCGTGAAGTGTCTCTTGATCCCTTAAAGCTCGCAGGTTGAGGCTAAAATCTTGAGTTTGCCAACATTTCAACATGAAGTTGAAACTCCACTTTCTTACAACTACAACCCAACTGGTGCATCTCCATGACAACAGAGCAATCCAGACCTTGTGTCCGTAATTAAAAGCCCTGGAAAAAGGCGGGTTTTTTAAACAGCACCCGGTGGAGGAGAGGAAACCCTTTATATTTAAATATCTTAACTTAATAGCTGTATATATCTTAGTGTATTCACTTCACTCTGTTCATACTGTAAATATCCTGCTAGTATATTCATATACATATATCTATAATGTTATTTATTTTAATATATATATCCCTGTACACATGCACATTACTCTGCACTTTACTGCTTTGCACTTCTGGTTAGATGCTTAACTGCATTTCGTTGTTTAGTACTTGTACTTGTGCTATGACAATAATTGAATCTAAAATCTAAATCTAAAATAAACGAGGCAAAGAAATCCTTATAACAACATTTTAATCATGAAAGGAACAAGAAAACTTTGTTAAGTAAGAGCAGGCAGCAGGGGGGTAAAACAGTTAAACACATTTAATTTGGAAATAAAAGTGTAAAGTTTTTAATTTCCTCTTTAAAGTAACACAACTAAAACTTTTATTCTTCATTAGAAGCACAGAAATTGAAGTTTAGGCAAATTCTAACTAAGTTTAATCACAGATGTCTCCCCACTCACCTGTCTGTGGGCCCTGGTGTCTTTATATAACACCTCTGCTCTCTTATAGACGAGACTTCACAGCAGTTCCCACATGTTTTTGCAGACGGTGCAACAGCTTGAAAAGAAGCACGTTTTGTTTTCTTTTAACCTTTCGTCTTGTCGTCTGTTACCTGAGGAACAGCGAGGGGACGATGGAATAAATTAGAGGTAAATCAGTGAAGGAGGCTCTTGTTTTATGGATGAGAAGACTGTGGGGGCGGTGGGCGAGAGACATTCAGGTGACTCAGCCTTGTTAGAGGGAGAGAGAGGAGTGGAATTAGAGTGAGTTGTGGTCTTATAAAGTCAGGTTGTGTGTGTGTATGTGTGTGTGTGTGTGTGCATGTCTATGCCCTGTTTATAATTTGTTTTATTGATCTCACACACACTCATTAGTCAGGAAATCGATGGAGGAGGAGGTCAGAGAGAACAATTAGAGAGGTCTTGATGACTCAGGTTGTGTTGTTGTGTATTTGTGTGTGTTTAGGGGCCGGTTTCTCCTTTTCCTTGTCTCTTTAATACCAATACTTCTTAAAGGCCCTGCTTATTCAGTATGGGTGTTCTCACCCATCCTGGCTAATTAAAACTCGTTAATTTGTGTGGAGCTTTTCTGGGAGGTCACCGAACTTAATTTACTAATAAAAAATGGCTGCAAATAAGCTGCAAAGGCAGTGAAACCTGCTGATGTGGAGAACAGCCGCCTTACACTGAACCAGAAACAGGTAAATATAAGAAACATTTTTAAGTGTTTGCAACCTGTGCATATGGTCACTCATTGGGCAGAATTCATTTTAAGATATTGGCATATAACACGTGTTGATTATACTGTACAGATTCATATATAACCTATACAATTAGGCTACAATTAGCACACCCGGTGATAAATGTGTACGTTTTCCCGCTTTAACAGATGTAATACAAGTAACAGAAGACTGTCAATCAAGCCTGATCTGACCATACCCACATAGTCCTGAGCAGAAGTCAGATTAGCCACAAGCAGTGAAAACATCTTTGTGTGTGTGCAACAGAGGAGGGATCCCTCCACCCGGATGGACAGACATGCAGTAGGTGCAGAGATACTGTTCGGTTTCATCTGGCTGCAGAGAATCTCATCTTATTGTGAAATATTTTGCTGCCATCCAGTGGCCATGTTGTTACAGGAGCAGATTAAAGGACCACTCCACAGTTTAGGCATGTTTTAATCTACAAATATCAAACTGATTACTGTTTTCCAGTTTCCTTTCACTACTTGAAAAATGAACATAAATGTATTATAAATTATTGTTGTATGTAGCCCTACTGTGTGTGCTGTGCTTACACCATATCACATATTATTTGGACTACATGATAAACTCTCTGTATATTTCTACAGGGCTGCTCCTACAGCGATTTAGGGGCTCAGCAGCATATAGAGCATACAACATAATATGTCATTCAAATATATGTAAAATGTTCAAAAACATTTTAAAAAGTATTACAAAATGACTATTATTTTCTTTTTCAGGCTCATGTTTACATCAATAAAACTGACATCATAAATGCCTTTAGTTGCAAACATTTTTAACCACTAGTTTTTGCAGTTTTACATACAGACAGTATCAGCAGCCAGTTCTCATGTTTCACCACAAGGTGTCAGAGCTCAGACGGCTCAGTGCGCAGAGGAAACACTAAAGCCACAACATGGATGAAGACCGTTCAAAATAAGATCCTCCTCAACCTCACTGGCGCTTATTACGGAGCTTTTTGAAAGAAAAGGCTTTTATTTTTTAGGCGACACTGCTTAACAGGAAGTCTTATTCTGTAATGTTCTGCTGAAGCTTGACGCATCTTTTCATGATAACGTTTAGGGGCTGATCCACGCGTCACACACCATCACTTGTGTGTGTGTGTGTTACCACATGAAGGCAGGCGCTACGCACTTGGACACACACACAGATGCGGAGACATGATGTGACATTTGGCCACGCGTAATTTGCGCATTTGGACAGCGGAGCGCGCGGCAGACGCTGTGTGTGTGATGATTTGGCTGTTTTCGGACGCATGATGCTGCTGGAGTGAGTCCAGGGATGTTGCGGCTTGTCTGGCTGCCGGAGTGCCTCCGCGCAAAGAGGGGCTGCGCCCTCCACATCTGCTGAGCAGGAGAGTTTGCCGACCTTATAATTGCGCTCTCACCGGGGGAATAACCCGCTATGGATCACTCCTGGGACATTTGAGTGTCTCCTGTGGCGATATCGCTCTCTGCTGGGACTGTGGGGGTGCATACTCTTCCTCCTTCCCAGCCTGCAAGATGGGGAATAGTTTCTCCAATTTGGGTGCCTTCCAGTCCTTGCACATAGTCATGCTCGGCTTGGACTCTGCGGGCAAAACCACCGTGCTGTACCGGCTGAAATTTAACGAGTTCGTCAACACGGTGCCCACCATCGGCTTCAACACGGAGAGGATCCGGCTGGGCGGCGCGGGGGCCTCCAGGGGCATCAGCTGTCACTTCTGGGACGTCGGGGGCCAGGAGAAGTTGCGGCCCCTGTGGAAGCCCTACAGCCGCTGCACGGACGGCATCGTGTACGTGGTGGACTCGGTGGACGCCGAGAGGCTGGAGGAGGCCCGGACCGAGCTGCACAAGATCACCCGGTTCGCGGAGAACCAGGGGACCCCGCTGCTGGTCATCGCCAACAAGCAGGACCTGCCCCGGGCGCTGGATGTCGGGGAGATCGAGAGGCAGCTCGCCCTGGCTGAGCTGAGCCCCTCCACCCCGTACCACGTCCAACCGGCCTGCGCCATCATAGGAGAGGGGCTGGATGAGGGCATGGACAAGCTGTATGAGATGATAGTGAAGAGGAGGAAGTCACTGAAGCAGAAGAAGAAGAGGCAGTGATGGCAGTTTTTGTGCTGGATGATGAAAAGGAAACTATGATAGATTCTAACTATATAAATATAACAGGATGGATCCAAGAGGGATTTTACAGTGATACATAGCAGATTCAAACTCCATGAAGCATAAATATCATTACTGATCCCCACAGAAACATCCCAAGTCTCCATATATGACGGGAATATATTTATAGTGATGCTACATGAGCTAAAAAATACCAATATTGTCACTTTAAACTCATTAGGAACTAGAGCATTGAATGTTAAAGAGAGGCGTAATGAAGGGAAAGCTGCCTAAACTCAACGTTTTTATTTGCAGAGCAACAACTAGATAATAATAATAATAACAATAATAATTATAATAATAATAATAAAAATGAATGACACAAATTCACAAAACAATTATAATAATTACAAATTTATTGGAAAGTACAGGCAGACAGTTCCTCTCCCTGTGAGTAAGTCCCTGATATTATTAGGACTGTTTCATTAGGGATGTCTACATTATAGCCGAGATGTTTTATAAAGTGTTTGGATACTGGCAGAGCTCCATGTTGCTGCTGTGTTGCACAGACTGTAGTAAATGTGATTATGGATGCACTGGTGCGCAGTCTGGTGTTCAGAGCTGTGAAATGGTGTTACACCAAAGATGATTCCCCCGAGAAGACCAAACTGACTCTTCCATCCTCCGTTGATTTGTTATTTTCAACCCTCCCAGCCACTTTGAGGTGTAGATGGAAATCTGAAATGATTGGCTGGAGTAAGAGACCATAACTTTAAGGTTCTGGAGGGCACTCAGTCTAAATGGTAAAAGTTCAGTTTACTAATAATACTTCCAGGAATTTGCGATGTTGCAACAATTAACACAAATGTAACGAATCTCTGTGAATTCTGTGCGGCATTGCACAACTTTTCAACCAATCATTGGAGTTTCCTGCACAGACGTCAACAAAACTCACTTCCTTGTTTCTTGTTGTGACGATGCAGACGTGTACGACATGCCTAAAACATTGCTGCAGTGAAATCAGGTATTTTAGGCCGCAACTATCTCCCAAAAAAAGTGTGCCAAATCCTGGAGGGGATAATGTAATAAGGTCACTAAAGTTATAGGAATATTTTTCAGTATCCAACCTTTGTAGCATTGTGCCTCAAGCTGGAGGGATAAAAAGGGCTCAGTGTTTGTTGCTCGCAGGTAAAGACAATTGTGAGGCTGTTTTTTTTTTTTTTAATGTCTCATATGTTGCATGTGGCATCGATACTGCCTTTATGGAAACAAGCAAGAAATTAGCAAAACTGTTGTGGTTTAAGATCATAAAATTCCCCCATTGACCCCATGCTCATTTTGCACTTTGAGACATTTTCTGAGTGGCGTCTCAGTTATACCTCCTCCGGAAGCCATATTGGAAGTCTTGAGCTCAGTAGATGTCTGATTTTCACTCTTCACCTCGGATCGACAACAAACTTTTTCTGCTTTACATGGACATGTAGCTCTCTGTTTTGAGCCTGGGTGCAGCGTTATCACCTTTCTTCCAAGAAAAGAAACGAGTAGTTGCTGAATAGACACCATGTGTTAATTTATAGCTGCATAAACAGAATTTGCTAGAGCTACTAAGAACTTACAGATCTCCAGCTGCAGTGATTTGCTGCCAAATGCGTACAGTGCGCACATTAATACTTTTCCAGTAGCCAGAAAAAAATGCTAGATTTGTTGCTAGTTGCCTCTTTTAGATACAGGGATCTCGAAACACAGATAAATGTAGCAATGTTTATGTTATTTGTGCACCATGCAGATTCCCACAAATATAGATGTGAGATTAGTGGCTGCAAAGCATTAAAGAGACTTTTTCTTTTTCATACACATTGTAGCAGCATTCAAACTTACTTTATTTTTAAAGGTCCAGAGTGTAACATTTATGTTTTCATTAGTGTAAAATTACCTGAATATAAGAATCGTTGTGTTTTCGTCACCTTAGTTTCTGCAAGTCACAATAATCAGTTCAATCTGAAACCTCACCACTAGATGTCACTAAATCCTACACACTGTTCCTTTGAACAACAGTCACATTTTATATTATATTTAATGACTACAAAACAGGAAAGTTATCAAACTAATTTATGAAACTACCACCATATATTGCTAGAGACGATCCAGTATAGTTTTTTCCTTCCCGATACCGATATTGATGAACTGAATTTTGTGTATTGGCTGATACCTAAGTACCAATCCGATACATAAGTGTTAAAATATATATATATATATATATATATTATTATTTTTAGGAGCATGTACTACTAAACCTGTATGATTGCTATTGTTGCTGTATGGCCTGGCTCAGGTTAAACCCTTTGTCAGAATAAGTTAGTTCATGACTTCACTAACCTGGGGGGAAAGAGTTGCCTTTTTCTGAGCTAATAAGTGTCATTGTATCGGATCAATGCATTATTGAAGGAATATCGGAACAACTATTTGCATTGCACTGTTACAACTTACAACAAAACAATATGTAGTCATCAGTGTAGAGTAATTTTGGGCACAAGACTCAATAAATCAGATCAGCATCCTTACAAGTTCTCCAAAATAAATAGTAGTTTCTGTGTCAGCTATTCCTCAGAGTTGTTGAGAAAGTGTTATGAGTGCTTCCCACACGGAGTCGACCTGCTGGCAGTGACAGAAAGAGCAAAGTGTCTTTCTGTAACAATGATGTAGTGAAACAAACCGACGGGCTGGAACCTGTTAAGATGCTTCTTATTGAAGGATATGTAATTATAATTGTTTCCACTAGTTGAATGATAAACCAAAACATGCTCTGTTGGGGAGGTTTTCTAATCAAATAATAATAAGTACCAAATCAGTTCCCATCCTTGATAATGTTCCACCCACATTGATTGACAGCTTACAGAATAGTTCATAAAAAGTCACTGAAATGAGCATTTTGTCTAAACTAATAGAGGACTGTTGAATGTCTCACATGGACTGTTGTCTAATGCCGCGTTCACGTCTAAACAGAAGAAGAAATTTTGTCGATGGCTTTAAGGATTTTAAATTATAAGCTGCAGCATGTTGCTCGTTTCAAAGCAGAGCTGATTGTGTTTTGAAAGTAATTTAATCATTTAGTATCTTGTTGAATGTTACAAGAATCCCCACATGTCGTACTCATAATAACCACCAGGGGGCAGACATGAAAGTTTTTTATTTTCTTTTTGCAGCTCAAATATTATATTTCCGACATAGATACGACGTGAACGTGGCGTCCTTTTTCCTGCAGTATTCAGTCAAGCTGTGTTCAACATTGCATGACAGCCACTACTTCAGACAATGTAAATTATACAGTATAGCGATACAGCCAAGATACAGAAAGACCAAACAATGTATTACATGCCAAAATGGGAAAAAAGAAAAAAAGTATTTTTGGGATTAAACTCTTTGTAATTGAACTTGTGTGTTGTCTGGTTTCTAAAGCTTTAATCATGGTGAGAAATTCCCTGCAGCTCTGAGTTAAGTACCAGTTACACAGTGTAGCATTCTTGTTGTGAGTTACAATTAAAAATGATCTACTTTATTACTCATTATATAAAGAGTAAATTATTTATTCTTACTTTAAACCAGCCTGCTGAAACGGCAACTCTGACTTGTTGGCGGCTGACTCAAGGCGGCTGCTTTAAAAATAATATTAAAAAGTTTTTACCAACAAAGGACATTGACCTATTTGCTTCAAGATATTCATAAGAAATTACTTCTACTTAATCTTTAAAAGGGGTTTATAAGTGGTTACTACTGTCTAATTGATATTAATAAACAGATAATAATGCTTTATGGATCAGTTATAAGCCATTAGACCCATGAGAATTTATTGATAACCCATAATAAGTCTAGCTTATTAATTCTCTTATTAAAGGGACTGTAACTGAACTATAATTAATTATAGGTCTATTAACCATTAATTAAATAGTTAGCTACAACTTTATAAAGGATGCCTCATTTGAAACTGGAATCATGGGATACCGAATAAATGTCCGAGCACCTGCCTAGAAATCATAGAAAAAGACGCTCCTTATCACTGCAGAACTTGCCTGAGAATCATCACGTTTTTATGTTTTCTTCAGTATCAGAGTAATGCAGTGGTAGTTGTCTGCACATCCATGGGTACAGAGCAAACAGGAACTACTAACAGACAGTTCGGCGGAGTTTTAATTGTGCCAATTTGCCAAAGTGTAAAGAAATATAGGCTAACTAACCGGTAACATTATAGTTTGGTTTACATCCTCAGAAGCATATTGGATCATGATTATGCACAATATAGAAGTAAGACAAAGGATACTAATAACCTCACTGCTGAAGCCCTTTAATATACTGATCATATCTCCGTCTGTATTGATTATAGCAGCCAGTGACGTTGCGCACGTGCTGCCAGAGGTTAATTGAACCAGCTGTGCGACAGAAACTGAATTTCAACCGCGCGCTACTGAATGGATGATCTTTTATTTCAGTCCGTTGTTTTAATGCTTCTATAATCTTAAATTAAACATTCACATTCATTCACCTCTTCAGCACAACGAGACCCACAAGTTCATCTCACGGTAAGAAGATCATTTAATGTGCGCCTATAATCGATTGATCGATTGATCACCCCAGTAACTAGTAGTGGAAATAATTACTGATACATTTCAGGAATAATATTACAGTTACAATCGTGGAGGAAACTGGTTCGGGAGATGGAAATATTCCATTACTTTGTACAAAGATAACTGGATTTGAATCATCATAAGTCTGAATTTTGAAGCGAAAGTAATATAACTACTAATGTAAGAGAGTAATAGAGTAATAAGTTAAATAAAGTAAATAAACTAACTAGCCCAACACTGCCTATAATAAAATCCAGTGCATATTCACTGATATCGTGCTATTGTGGCAGAAAGTGGCAAAAACACAAACTATATCCGAAATTCATGAAAGAAATTAACATTATTACTTTGCTTTAATGAGTTAATTATGAAAAAAATCTACATAAAATGCATCCAAAGTTCAGTAATTTAACTCTGTAGTTGTGTATCTCGTGAATATATTTAAGGAATAATGGAAGGAAAATTAGATAGTAGTTTTGTGCAGTAAATTAAAGTCACTAAAATACTATTTCAGGGACAGAAAGTACATGTTTTCCTCTTTGTTTACTGGCCTCCATCTAGTGCCAAATTTACCTTTCTGCTGTGTTTACAGTGAAACTGTCTGCCATCTTATTATTATGGTTTGTGTAACTCAAAGCCGCTGTCATGTCAAAAGTGTAATCCCTGATGAGGAAAGTGTTACTTTCCTTCTGTTATTTATTGTTTGGTGTAATTGTACCATGTACTTTGTGCTCCTTAAATAAGACTTTTTATGTTATTTTATCTCTCCTCTGGGATTTAACTGTCTGGAAGTAAAAGTAGGTTTTCTATCAGACATATCTGGAGCTGGAGAACTCGGATTATAAACAAAAAGATCACAGGCACAGGAATCCAGTTTAAACATAAAGAAATATTTTATTCTGTGATTGGATCTCATTGGATTCAAGAAAAGAAGACACACATATGTTCTGCTGCCACAAATATTAACCAAATATGGATTAATCCGTGGCTGAAAATAGTCCCCAACAAATGCACCATTTCCTTTCTCTAGATACGCCCCCGGACAGCTCCACATCAGCTTTAAATAACGTTTTAACATATGTGTTTGGAGAGTTTAGTTCTGAATAAGAGCTGTGGATTGTGAGCGTTGAAAACCTTAAATCACTGAGTTATTGGAGTTATTGATCTACAGTCCCCTGTTCTCTATTACGATCATTTTACCCTTTCTACTCCACAGCTACAATATTCATCCTCAGTGGAAAATAATTCTACATTTTCAAACCGCTGACGGAGCGCAGAGGTTTCTGCTGTTTCTTTGTTTCTTTCCTCTCTGGGTTTCTGTGGGTGGCCGTGAATGGGATTTTATGTTTTATCTGAGTCTTCTCCTGGATGATGATAATCCCTTACACTTCCAGCCTCACTGTCCAAAAAATGGAGGACTGTCATGTTTCTGCTGAGCATGCAGAAGCTTTGAACACAAAGAGCGGCGTTAACACGCTTTAAAGTCGCTGTCAGATTGTCGGTGACACAAATGTTTTGTCTAATGTACTTATTCTGTATTCTTTTTTAGTTTAAATGTGTCTGAGTCAGCACACAAACATTCTTCAGTTACATTATCTAATAATACTGTAAACATTATTAATAAAAAGGATTTATTGTTTACTGCAATGCCACTAATGGCCACTAGATGCTGTATTAACATGAATATAAAAGCCACAACTTATCGCTCAGCAAACTGTAATAATAATAGTAAGTTCTAATTGTACCACATCAGATTTTAAAGGACCAGTGTCCTTGTCTTGGTTTGTCTGTTCCGGGCTACTGTAGAAACATGGCGGACTCTGCAGAGGAGAGCCTGCTCGTCTGTAGATACAAACGGCTCTATAAATATTATATTATATTTCTGACAATAGATGCACACTGGACCTTTCACTACAGAACAACATCAGACCACTGTGTCATTACTTGTTGGGAAGCAGAACTCCATTAGAGGCCAGTGTTTTGATCCAGGTCGTGTCCTCCTCGTGCGTCCAACGCGCTGCTGACAGAATCTGTTGTTGTTGCATAATCTTAGTTTACTGTTTAAAGTTGGTAAAGGCAGTTTGTGTTGAGTCAACAGAGGCTTTAATCTCTGGCCTTCATGGCCTCTATAAAGTCATGACAACAAAACGTGGTCGAGAACTCTCAGCATAGTTTTTTTTCTAAGGCGCTGTGAAATGACCGATCTGATTATGATTAATGAGGCTGTTTTGGTGTACGACAATAGCAGCGGCACTGGTCTCCGTCTCTGAGCTCTGGTCTTTCTTCACTGTGGTTTCTGGCCTTCCAATAAGTCCAGATAGTGGATAGCTCTAGTCTGGCCATCCCTTATATCGGTGCTTGTTTTGTTTTCATAAGCTACAACTAATACAACATCTACACTGTCCCTAAATCCAACATTAAACCTAAAACAAGGACCGGATGGACATTAGACACTTCCTTGTAAATGCTGAGAGAATTCATGCAGCACTCAGATCGACTCTGGCTGATCATCATGTGAAAAATGGATCAGTCGTACTTTGGAAATTAACTCTTCTTATTAAAATGCAAATTCTACAGACATGCTGCTACGCTCAGTGTGGAGTGTGTTCAGGGGTTTGCAGCTCTGCGCGCCGGGTCAGGCAGAGGCTAATCCGGCTGTGTTTCCTCCTGCCCACAGTGTGTCGGGGTGAACCAAGAGTCACCGCTGACGTCACAGCCGAGGCTTCATTTGAAACACGGCTCATTATCATTTTAATTACAGGCTGGGAGGCTGGAAAAGAGGGAGGAAGAGGGAGAAACTGGAGCCATTAAAGTAATTTAAAGGTCCAGTGTGTAACATTTAGGAGGATCAGAAATTGAATATAATGTTCTAGTCTTTGTTACCTAGAAGACACTGGAGGTCGCCTACTGTTTCTACAGAGTTAATTTCTCCCACAACCTCACAGCACACTCTCATTCCCAGGTCATCAAATACAGACGCAACTAAATCCTACAAACTGGTCCTTTAAAGCTATAATTAATATAATTTCCTCATTAAAATGTCTATAAACACCAGAGTTGTGTTCTCTACGTAGTTGAGTTGAGTTCTTACATTATCCCAAATGTTTCCAACAATGTAAAAAAAAAAGTGTGCGTTGTGGTTGTCTGCCAGAAGCTGTCATACATTGACTGTTGATCCAGTCTGAAGCCACATTGTTACCATCCACTGTTTAGATCTTGGTGCTTTTTAACTCTAGATTTGAACCCGATGAAGGATTTTAGTCATCAGACGTCTGGATCTTAAGTTATCAGAGAAACAAGCTGAGCTAACGTTAGCAGCAGCTAATAATTTCATATTTAAGTTCAGATCTTTATTGTCCCACAAGAGGAAATTCTCTTTGTTGCATAAAAACATTTAAACAATAAATGTTGAGACATAAAAAATACCACATTTTGTTTTTATAACGTTTTATTGATTCTTTATTGACAATAAGTTACTGCAGCATATCAGAGGAAGAAAGAAATAACGGGAAAAGAGAAATATATTACCAACAAAAATAAACATAAAATCTAACCATAACATCTAAACACTACAATAACATTGGACACAATATGGACCTGTGTAGTTGCAGTATGATCAATTCTGTGATTTGGTGCTTCAGACACAGAAACAGCAGCTGTAGGTCGAAGCCTTGTGAGATGTGTCTGTGTAGGTGGCAGCGAAGCTCTGATTCTGTCTCTGCTGCTGTCAAAGCCAATTATCTCATATGTAATACACACACACAGAGAGAGAGAGAGAGAGAGAGAGAGAGAGAGAGAGAGAGAGAGGGATCCACAGATGATGAGACAAATCGAATTGCAACTGGATGAATCACATTTTTTATTTTATTTTTTTAACAAAGCCAAAGTACTTTGTTTTTGTCTGGTTTCATATGATTTTAAGCTGTTTTTCAAGCTAAAATACAAAAACCTAGCCACCACTAACACCAACAAATAAAATGTAAAGATTGGAGATGAGGAGTGGAGTACTGTGTGTCAGATTTATAACTTTAATGACAGCTGTTTGGTGGAGTGTGTCATTAACATGTTAAATTACACGGCTCACCTCTGTAATCCAGAGGGCGGGTCCCTTTACACCGGGACTCTAGCAAAGGATGCTGGGAGCTGACGGAAATAAACTGAGTCCGACTCCACCTCAGAAACTCTCATCGGTCTGGATAGGACGACTTCTCTGTTATCTGTGATATATTCATCCAACCCCCAGAGCCGTGGTTCCCATCTTTTTTCCTCAAGAGACTCTTTTCTATAATTTAGTAAACTAAGTGACTTTTTTTTTCTTCTATTTTTTAAATTAATTTTTACTGATCATACAGACTTAATAGGTTTCTGCTTAACCATTGTTCTATAAGACAATTTACTTTTCTTCACAGAAGTGAACAACATGCTGAGCTGTAGGCCTGCTGTGTATGTTTTTTAAGTTTTCTTACACGCCTTAAAATCAAGACAGACCCTCCATGAATCTTTGGCGACCCATAGTGGGGTCCTGACCCCCAGGTTGGGATCCACCTAGGATGAATGAATGGTTTTTGTGACCCCTTGACCTTCCCTATAACCCCACAATCAGGCCACACCTTTCACTTATACACACAACATATCATTGGCCTTGAAGTCTTACTAAGCAGATTCATGTCCTGCAGAGCAGTGGTTCCAAACCTGGGGGTCGGGACCCCTATTAAGGGTCACCAAAGCTTCACAGGAGGTCACAAAGCCTTGGTCTGATCAATATTCATAGGAAATAATAAATACTTCATTAGAATCTCTTCTTCCTGCCGTTATTGTGTTCACTGTTTGGATGGGAAGCTAGCAGGGCTCTAGACTTGTGAGTACACTTTCTTTATTTAGAGTCACAACAGTGATGAAATCCCTCTTGGCAGCAGTGCTTTCATCTCTCTGTATTTCACCGTGTTCACATAAAAAAAAACAACCCACTGACTGTCCATCAGTCCGTTCTCATCTCACAAAGCTGAAACAAATATGATCCCATAGCTGGTGGTTTCAGTGTATTAAGGTTTTCAGTTCTTGTGATGAGTCCATACGGGCTGTGTAAATGTATATATTTAACCTTTGTGTCAATAAAATGTCCTGAGCATGACGGATGCTCGATGCTCCTAAAGCAGAAGTTGGAAATGGGTCACGCATTCAAGTGCTTTTAGACGTAAATAATGACAAAGTGGATGTAAGAACACATTTATTTTTATGGTTGCTGATGGAAGAAATGAAGTGACACAGAACAAATCCTCCTCACGGGGAAACCTTTGAGTTTACAAGAAAAAAGAAAGAATATTGTTTTTTTTATTTTTCATCCTTTGTTAGTTATAACACCTATTTTTCATCCTTTGTTAGTTATAACACCTAAATGCCTAATGTTACTACACTAATACACATGCATTAATGTATAGACTATATAAATCTGCACTAAATGTACAAATGTAATGTATCTGAAACATATCTGCTCCATAAAAATATGTTTGTAAAATAAAACTACTGGTTGAAAGTTGTTGATAACTTTTATTTTATAACTTGTTCTATTTGTAGTCCAAAATACTCCACTGATCTCTGAATAATTTTTTTTTTATGGCAAACTGTAAATTGTTATTGTTGGTTATGGAGAAACTATTATCAGCTAACAACCACAATTCAGTAAAATTACCTCTGGTGTTTAATTACTGATCAATATGTTGTTGTTGCTTTGTTGTCTATTTTTTTTAAGGAAGAATATCAATGTTGGCACCAGATGGCAGCTCTGACTCATCAGATGTGGAGTTGTACAAACTCCCACCCTCTGGAGGGACCCTGAAGGCACAATAACCAGTTTCTTAAAACACAGCAATGACCTACTTTTTCTTTCTAAACACAAATTGAAGCAGCAGATCTTTCACTCTCAAGTGTTTTGTGTTTCTTAATTAATTTGTTTCCATTGAAGATTTTAGTAAAATAGATAAGTCAGGTTGGTTTTGTATTAAGGTTCAGCTTTTTCATTTTTAACTGTGTTGGTACTTATTTTCTGTCTCTTGTTTTTCTGTTTTTAGTGCATAGTGGCCACAACCTGCCCATCAAAGCTTCCCATCCGGCCTGCAGACTGACCACTGATTATCTTACTACTATTAGTATTTTAATGTTTATATATTTACAGTATTACAAACTGGGAATCTGTGGTGGAATACCCAGAGTAATGCAGTATTACCTTACTGATAATGCAAACAGAACATTTTCTTGCTGCTGCAGCTTCACATTAAAAGTATTTAACTGGTAAAACACAAGTTGACTTTTATTATGAAGGAAATACAATAATGTGTTTGTCTGTGAACTTGACAACACTCTGCACTTTTAAAGGCAAACCCCTTGTTGAATAACTAATTAAATTTATCATTTCTTTTGTTTTAAAGGAGGAATTAAAGACATTTAAGGTATACACTAAAGTGTTTTGGGTTGTAAAGAGTGATCTACTCCTCCCACCAACCAGCAGCAGCAGGAAACTGGTTCAGCTGTCTGTTTCTCAGCAGCTCTGAAGGTTGTAGAAACTTTAAATCAACCTGCTGGGAGACCACCGAGGAGCTGCAACACAGAGCCCAGGGTAAAAGATTAAAAACAATCATTCAATATTCAGATTCAGATTTATATTTGTCTTATTTCTGGTTGGATTATTTGGTGACAATCTCTCTAAAAACACATTAATTTAATGACGGTTAATGTAAGTAATTTAGAGGTCCAACAGAGAATCTTTAAGACTATAAATGTTTTATTTACTGGATTATTAAAGCTTTAGTAAATTATATTTTTTATATTTCTGAAAGGTTTTACTGCCTGCGGAGGCTGTTGGTGTAACACAGATGACCTTGGTTGAGGCTTGACCAACAAGATTTTCTTGATTTTACTGTTATTGGTTAAACAGAAGCTTGAGCACGTAATGAAACATATTCCTGTTTGGGGGGAAAACAACTTCTGAGAGAGTTTGAAATACAGTGTTAATGATATTCTGCAGTCATAGTTTATCACAAATGTCCTTCCCGTTAAAAAGTCGGCTGTTCCTCCAGTGTCTCGTTGAAATGGGAAGTGACCAGTCGAGATGCTGGTCTCGGGCCTGTTCGGACAAACAGGAGCAGACCGTCATGGACCAACGAGGAGATGATGAAACAGAGGCGTTCCTAAAGGACAGGAAGGAGACACAATGCTCCGTCAGCTCAGAGGACACACCCGCTGATTATTCTTTGGACCTTCCTCCAGTCAGCAAACCCATACTGGATTTGGCCCAGAAGATGTCGGAGGATATCGTCGCTCAGGCTCTGCTGCTCTGCTGGGAGGCGGAGATTCATTACAAAGAGCTTCCTTTCATTGACATTGAGAGTGAATATGTTATATGAGCTCAGACTTAACCTGGATTAAAAAGTGCTGCTGAACTGAACGGGTGTAACCAAGTTCACATCCTGCTGTTCCTTTAATGTGAACATTTTTATGGAGTTTGTGCTCATTCCACGACATCACGACACGTTGTGAGTCTGTGTTGCAACCAAGAATGTGGTCGAGTAGAAGTAATATTTTTCTTGAGACCTGTTAAACCTGCTCTAAACAGTATTCATGCAATAAAAATGTGACGGATTAACTGACATTTGGTGCTCTAGTGAGTATTTGGGGCAGGCGGACGGTGTGTGTTCATGGTAATAAAGGAACAACAGTGAGGCTGATTTATGTGTTTAATAGTTTTTGGACAATGATGGAGCTCTGTGGCACAGAGGAATATATCAGACGGGATCACCACTCGCACTGTGACACTTACTTCTTGCTGCCACTTGGTGTCACCAGAGATCATCTTAAATCCAAATCTGGTTTATAGAACAAACACACATAACATCCAAGAGTGGAAACCTCCTGATTTGTTGTTTTTCTGTCTCAAAGACTAAATTGACATTCAGAATGGTATTTGGCATATTATAGTATATGTTTTTTGTTTGGGCTTTTATTTGAAGTCGTTTTGGATTTAAATTACAGAAACATGTGAAACTTGTGACTGAAGCACAGATGTTGGCACTGTGGCTCAGTCAGAAGTGACAAAACTGATAATTTTCTCTGTCGGTGAGAAAATGACGTGTGTGAAACACCCGTTGAACAGGACGACCTTGTAGTTCGACATGTTTCCAGTGCAGGTTGCAGAGTTTCTGTGGCGGGAAGCCGAGGTTCGCTCAGTGTTTCTGTTGTCATCAACAGTGTCAGATTATAGACGGTTCAGATGACTCACTCACTCTGATCCTCCCTGTAGCCTCGGGCGCGGGAGGCGGAGCCACAACCTCTTCACCTGTCACCTTAACTGACTCCAAACTGATATCAAATGTTTGTTTAATCAGGGAGGGCTAAATGATGAATTACCCATGTGCTGTCCAGGAGGAAGGGGGGCACGTAGGAGCCCTTCAGGGCAGTCAATGAATGCTTGTATATTTATGTTAAATGTTTAAGAGTCTAGGCTCGTGATTTCCTCTCAATCTAAGCTCCAGTATCGAAAAATAAAAGTTTGAGCACAAATAAACAAACAAATAGTCGCATTAAGAAAATTTTATTTTATAAGTGCAGAAATACAGAGTGTTATTTTATTAAAGAACCAGTGTGAGGATCCGCCTGGAAGACAAAATGAGAACAAAGAAAGTTTTATATCTGTAATTCAGTTTAATACATTCAAAGAGACAAACAGAACAACAAGATACATCTTTCACACCAGTTGTTACCAAAATGAATCTCCATGATAGAGACTTTATGTCACTGTGTGACAGAATGTAATATTACAATCATAGTTTTCATTAGTGTATCGTCACTAAATCCTCCACACTGGTCCCGTGTTTCAAATCTAATCTGAGCCTGAAATCTCAGCAGAGTTCAGTTTGAGCTCTGAAGGAAACTTTACTTCAAATCTTCTTGTTTGATATTTATCTGCTGCTGATGTACTCGTTAATATTTCATGTTTAACATCTTCAGGTTTTATTTATAAAAGTTTGATCAGTGAACAAACAACCCGTCTCACCTGTGTTTCTAGAAGTGTCCTCGACCGCGTCCACGTCCATGACCGTGACCGCGGCCATGCTTGTGCTTGCGCCCGTGCTTTTTGCGACGTCCACCGTGGCCGTCATCTTCACTGCCGCTGCTGCTGCCGCTGCCGCTGCCACCACTGTGGTTACGACCAGGACTTCCACCACCACGGCGACGGGGGCTATGGTCGCGTTCATGTTCACGATCTCCTTCGCGTCTTTCCCTGTGGCGATCCTGATCACGGTCAGGGCTGCGTCTCTTGTGGCTTTCTTCATGATCATCCTTATGGCGATCCCCTCCATGGCGATCACCTTCATGGCGATCACCTCCATGGCGATCACCTTCATGGCGATCCCCTCCATGGCGATCACCTCCATGGCGATCACCTTCATGGCGATCCCCTCCATGGCGATCACCTTCATGGCGATCCCCTCCATGGCGATCCCCTCCATGGCGATCACCTCCATGGCGATCACCTTCATAGCGATCTTCTCTTTTGTCATCTTGTCTCTTGTGGTCACCTTCATGATGTTCTCCACCGTGGCGGTCTCCTCCAGAGCGACTATCTCCTCCAGGGCCGTAACCCTCTTTGCGACCTCCGGGGCGATCGTGGTCCCCTGGCTGCGGGCCCAGGTCGTAGCCAGAGGCGGGTTTATCTGTTGGGGCACCAATCAGAAGAAAAGAACCAAATTAAAGCTGCAAAATAAGTCATGAAGGCAAAACTCCGGGATGAAATATTTAGTTGAAGAAATGTTTGCGTTCCAATAAATAAACTGGTACCTGAGCTGGAGCTGAACATCTTGTGTCGGCGGTGTTTGTGTTTGAGTCTGAAGATCCTTTAATGAGAAGCAGACAAGAGAAAACAGGGAACGGCCCGTTTACATTCAGTTAAACCAGTTCGACTGGAAATGATGCTGCAGTGAGAAAATAACAGCAGGAGTTTCATCGAGTGAAAACCAGCACGTTGTTTTATTGTTTTAGTATTTTTGAGTTCAACCGTTTACAAAGTTTTCACTAATACGAGAATTTGTTGTTGTTGAGATTAATGACAGGAAGTAACATCAGCCGTTCAAATAAAGTAGAATCATCTTTTATTTAATATCTTGTATAATTGTTTTATTTTTAAACTGTTTAACTGTCAAACTTACACAATAGTTTAGATAAAGGTGTTTATATTTCCGTATGCATTTCTTTCTTTCTTTATTTCTAGTGACAGAAAAATAAAAGTGTACTTACGAGAGCTGGAAGCAGCTTTCTGTCAGCGC